GTTAAATACAAATGTTGATATTAATTAATAATCGAAACTACTCTAATAAATAATCAACTAGTGGTAACTTAATATAGTGTGTAACCCTATAGGATCATATGTTACTAGCAATATCATTCTATAATGACTTTTGGGCATACAAGATCTTCCAATCTCCCACTTGCACAAGACTCATCATAGATTGATATAGACAATGGTGAATGTCTAGCAACATTTCACTGCCCTCAATAACATATGATGAAGAATGTCATTCATTAACATCCAATTTCCAAAAGCTCCAAGTTTCAGTTGATGCATAAGGTAAGTTTATCAGTTATCCCTTTATTACAGACATCTTTTTGAACATGAGACTTGGATCGCTATCAATATCATTTGGTGTTCAACATTAGGTACCACGGTAGAGGCCTAACTCTCAACACATAAGAGGAACAAATCTCATCTTGACTACATAATCCTCTTGTATAGCTCACACCATACCTGAAATGGCTTTTATAGCTACCGTTTAAGGATCAACATTTAACCATATCAAACCACAACACTCCATATACTTAAGTCTCACTATGTATCTCCGGTGTTAAGGATACAAAGATAGTACCTTTTAATCAAGTGTCACTCATGAAAGTGATCCATGATGTGATCTTGATGCAGGTCCGTTCAGTACCATTTCTATGACAAGTACTTATGGAACTTGGTTATAACCACTTGCTTACTTTCATCTGGTGAGAGGCAACCAATCCAATTCATACTAGTCTTACTTCATAATTTCTCCCACAACTATAACTAACTATGAACTTTTCGAATAATACGAATATTCATGGATTAAACATGTTAATATAGAACACAACAAGTATTGATGTGATGATCATATAGATGGGTTTTATAAGTTATAATTCAATACATGAGGTGAAATAACTTAACTCTTAAGATCACATGCAACCTACTTTGGATCTAAGTTTTCTCTATTGATAACAATAACCTATGAACATCAAGAACCCTAAAGTAACTCTATATTAATTGAAATAAACATAGAGTTATGGTTTACATACCTTTTGGTTGTTATAGTAAATAACCAAACAAAATTCTCTCTTAAAAACCTTGGAAAGCAAGCACCAAAAGTTTAGTGCATCTAATGGTTTGGACCCAAAACCCTAGAAACCCTAGAATGATGGGGAAAGAGATGGATGAGAAGGAAATTTCGTTCTTAAGCATTATGATCAAGTTATGACTGAAAATAATGAGTAGTGGGATCTTATTTATACTTTAGGAAACTTGTAGGCAAAATTAGATTTGAATTAATTAAATAACAGATTTAATCACAATCCAAAACTTCTTCTTATCTGCATCCTGGAGGCATTCAGAAACCTCCAAAACTGTCCACCCTTGGATGGTTCTAGAATTTCCTTATTTTGTTCAACTATTGAATAAATACAATTCACCCCTTAGAGCTTTAATTAATTCTAATTAATCCCAAATTATTTATTGATTAATAATTAATTAATACTAATTAATTTCTTATTAATTTTTAACCATATAAATTAACAAATTAATTATTTAACTATTGATATCATGTTAATTTATTAATCACACAACAACTTAATAGATCAGTTATCTATTTCCAATTAATATATTAATCACATAATATATTAACAAATAATTTCTCTCACCTAATATCATTTCTAGCTATTTCTGGTTATGAGGGAAACCCAAAAAGGATTTTGCTTCTATTCGCAAGTTTATACTAATTTAGTTATGAGCTTAGACACCTTAATCCTGCACATATCTCAATATATTGAAACAAACTCGGAAGCTCGGTAAGTGGGAGAATAATTATTATATATGCAGATGACACATTCCAAACGATATGTATGATTCCTTGTTCGATATTTACCAAAATGTTGAAAGTGAGAAGGCATTAACGAATTCCTTTGATCAAAATACACCACTGAAGATGCTTTAAGTAATAAGTTTTTAATGAGTGATTTTAATTACTATAAGATGGTTGATTCAAGGCCTGTAATGGAATAATATAATGAACTCCTTTGTATCTTGGGGCAATTCACTTACACAATATGAATATGAATGAATCCATTGTTGTTTTGAGCGTGATTGATAAACTTCCCTCTTCGTGGACGGATTTGAAACATACTTTGAAACATCATAAGGAGGAATTGTCTTTGGTTCAATTGGGTAGTCACTTGCGCATAGAAGAATCCCTTCAGGTGAAAGAGAATGTCAAAAATAAGGGAAATGTTGAATCTGGACAACTCTTTGTTTATATGGTGGAAGATAAGAAAATAAAATCCAGTAACAAAGGTTAAGGAAAGAAATGCAAGTTAGATGGAACCGACAGATTCAACAACAAAAGTCCAATGAATTGGTGTGTTTGAGATGTCATCGAGTGGGTCATAGGAAGCTTGATTGTTGTGTGAAACTAACTGATTGTGCTAGTGGAAGTGGGAGTGGAAATGGAAATGCAAATGGCATACAAGGTTCGAAAGACCAAAGTTTACCAAAAGGAGGTCAGATTTTGACTAACATTGATAATTCTGGTAAGAATTATATCAGAAATTAAGTTTCATTCATTTAGAATAATGATTATGTTTGAAATTTCTTTTCCAAAAACTTAAATTCAGAGAGAGAGAGTGTGTGTGTGTGTATGTGTGTGTGTGTGTGAAAGAGAGAGATAGGGGCCCTTGTATATTTAATGATTATAAAATATTTAAGAAAAATAAAAAAATAAATATACTAAAGGTGTACTAGTCTTTTCAGTTTTCTGAGGGACAAAAAACGCAACGAAGCTAGCTCAAAAGGGCCACGAAACCAAAAAAAAAAAGTTCAGGTTTGGACTAAACTTCAGAAAAAAAAAATACATACCACAGGGACCAATTTTGCAATTTTGATGAATCTAGTGATCATATTTTGTTTTCTACTCTATTTTTCGAACAATCGAATCAATAATTTATGTTGGGGATCATGGCGGATTTTGTTAAAGGCATGACTTTGAAATTCAACAAATTAAACAAGTTTGAAGGGAATGATTCCAGACGCTGGAAGAAAAAGATGCATTTTCCGTTGACAACATTGAAAGTGGTGTACATGTTGAGTAATCTGATGCTGAAGAAGTGAATGATGGGATGCTGGAACAAACTCGGAAGCGCAGTAAGTGGGAGAATAATGATTATATATGCAGATGACACATTCCAAGCGGTGTGTCTTATTCCTTGTTTGCTATTTACCAAAATGTTGAAAGTCTGAAGTCATTATGGAATTCCCTTGATCAAAATACATCGCTGAAGATGCTTCAAGTAAGAAGTTTTTAACGAGTGATTTTAATTTCTATAAGATGGTTGGTTTAAGGCTCGTAATGGACTAATACAATGAACTCCTTTGTATCTTGGGGCAATTCAGTTACACAATATGAATATGGATGAATCCATTGTTGTTTTGAGTGTGATTGATAAAATTCCCTCGTTATGGAAGGATTTGAAACATATTTTGAAACATCATAAGGAGGAATTGTCTTTGGTTCAATTGGGTAGTCACTTGTGCATAGAAGAATCTCTTCAGGTGCAAGAGAATGCCAAAAATAAGGGAAATGTTGAATTTGAACAACCCTATGAAAATAAACTCCAATAACAAAGGAAAAGGCAAGAAACGCAAGTTTGATGGAACTGAAAGATGCAACAACAAAAGTACAATGAATTGGTGTGTTAGAGATGTCATCGAGTGGGTCATAGGAAGCATGATTGTCATGTGAAACTAACTAATGGTGCTAGTGGAAGTGGGAGTGGAAATGGAAATGCAAATGGTGAACAAGGGTCGAAAGACCAAAGTTTACCAAAAGGAGGTCAGATTTTGAGTAACATTGATAATTCTGTTAAGAATTATATCAGAAAGTATGTTTCATTCATTTAGAATAATGACTATGTTTGAATTTTCTTTTCCAAAAACTTAAACTGAGAGAGAGTGAGAGGGGGGATATATATATATATATATATATATATAGAGAGAGAGAGAGAGAGAGATAAGCCCTTTGTATATTTGATAATTATAAAATATTTAAGAAAAATAACTAAAAAGTAAAAATAAATATACTAAAGGTGTAATAGTCTTTCAGTTTTCCGAGAGACAAAAAACGGAACAAAACTAGCTCAAAAGGACCACAAAATTGGAAAAAAAAAAGTTGAGGTTTGGACTAAACTTCAGAAAAAATACATACCATAGGGACATTTTTTGTAATTTTGTCTAAAGAATAACACCAAAAGACAATGAAAAATCCACTACAAGATAGTAGAAATATGTAATTCGACAAAAATTTGGTACTAATCGTACAATATTTTAATCTAAAAAAATAGCAAAATGGATTTGGTCCAGATCTAATTCCTAAAATCACGTGCCAAAAATCGTAGAAATCATGTAACAAAACCTTCAAATCACAACTGCTCAACATCACTCCTTTTTTTGCACCATTGTCCCCATCATTCGCTTTTGCGTCTTCTTTGCCACTGGCCTTTACACCTTCGTCTTCCTCTGCTATTGCGCTTTCTCCAACATCGACCACTGTTAGTACCATTTTAATTGGTGTGTAGAATCAATTGTTCTTATGTTTAGAGGATCTGTTTTATGAACTTAAACCAATGATGTTTATGTTTCTATATGCAGTTTGTGATTCTCTCTATATAATATTAATTCTGTACAACAGGAGTATTCGTTTAGTAAATATTAAAGAATCATCGATAATAATCTCTATTTTATAACTCATGTAATCATGATACCCTTTCAATTTTGAGAAATAATTATAAAGTGTTATATAATACTAGTACATTAGTGCAAATACTAATTTTTCTTACATTGTATAAAACATTACCCAATTATTCTTGATTGATTTTAATATCATGTTTTTTCGAATCACTGTTTACCGAAATAGATATTTATGTAATCTCACCACCATAGTTATGAAAACCTGTTAACTAATGCGTATTACATGCAGAGTATGATCAATGACGTTTCATAGCAGATCGGAAACAACGGTTTTGTTTTCTCTGGCCAATTTTTGTCTATCATTTTTCCTTGTACTTTTGGTTGTCGTTGGTAACAATGGTGTCGGTGTCAGTGGGACGAAGAAGCGAGTTCACATTTCTGACGACCTCGATGATGTCGAGGACAATGAGGAGGATCAGGCGTGGATAGAATGGGGACAAAAGAAGAAAATGACGGTGGAAGAATTTGATCCGCCACCGGAAAATTTTTCCGATATGGATTTTAGTCAGATGCAAAACGAGGTTCTGAAACGGCAGGTTGGACAAGCGTATGGCTTCGTTAAGCTTCGGTTAACTGATCATCGTACTCCGGTAACTCGATTCTTCTTCCGATTTTGTTTGAAATTTGTCCAAATGCATTTTCATTAGTTTTTTTTTCTTTATGATTTTGGCTTTCAATGATTGCAAAAAAACTAGAAGCTTGATTCTGATAAAATTAAATTTTAGTGATGAATTCGATTGTATAGTTTCATTTAAAGTATTTGTTGAATGAAAAAAATGGCAATCACAAACAAAATGATTCTCAATTTTGGTATTCTACATTTATATACTACATGCTTTCAGTTTTGGATCTATATTGTAGCGCTATTTGATGACGATATATCCTTTCCATCTCAAAAATACGATCCATTTGACAGTAGAAAAGAGGAAGTTATCTAACTGAGAATCAATCTGAATCCAATAGTTATGGGTTCCAAGACTTGATGTAAACATGCTTTGTGCTTTATTAAAAAGATGATCAAGTTACAAATGGATTTTTGTTGTTCATGGAGGGAAAGCAAAGAACAAACTTCAGTTATATTATTTATCCTTCAAAAATAGTATTAAGCATTTTTAATAAATTCTTGATACTTTTTACAGGATATGGTATCTGATATTGCAGTGAAATGGACCCAACTTGCAAGAACCGGAGCAATTGGAGTCATTTTCATGGGTTTTGATCTTTCCACTGTAATGTTCACATTACAAAATGCCCAAAACACTTTAGAGGTTACTTCCATTTCCATTTCCCTTCTACTCCCGTATTCATTGTTAACTAATCGCTTGCTCTTTTTTCCTTTTCAATTCAATGAAAACAAGAAAAATAATACTAAAAGTAGTAAGTCATAATAATTCAAGAATACAAATAAGGTTATTTATGAATATACTTATTTTTCAATGTTTTTAGTTTAAAGATTTTTTATTGGATCAACCTGAAGCATATGAGATTAAGATGGGGGATCAGTTTTTTCGAAGACCCGGGGATCCTCCATTTGACAATCTTCTAAAAAAACTTCATGAAGAAGAAGACAAGAAAAAGATCGCTACTTCCTCCAACGATACTATCACCAAAGATGAGTTATGATTCACAATAGAGTATATTATTATTTCATTTTTTTCTAAATCATTGCCATTGGTAAATTGTGTTGTTTATTTGGTTTAACTCCTCCATTTGCTGTGACTTTTATCTTATCCATGGTTTCTATCACTGGTGTAGTTTTCTAGTTTTTAATGATGATGGTAATATATATATATATATATATATATATATATATACACACACACACACATACACACATATACATACATACACACACACTAACCGTTTACCCACGCCAAGTGACGGGTGCGAATACTTTTTTTTAGAAATTAGTTTCTAAAAGTGTTAGTGCTTTTGCTAGTATAAAATAACTCAATAAGAAATAAAAATGAAAAGTTATGATTCTTTACAAATATACATGAACACCAGAATGATTGTATATTATTAATCATGCAACACTTCTTTAGACACCATATTTGTGTATACACCTATAGCAATGTCATTGATACCCTTAGGCGTATATTCTTCCAACACCAATCATTATGTCTGACTTAATTTCTTCTCATGCCATCGTCAGTGGGGATCCCCGGGACAATACGATGAGCCCTCACCAAATATTTATTTATCATTAGGGTAACCTATAGCAAGAACATAAACATCAAGTATTATTCAACTCATCAGAGATAATTCTCATTATCTTGGATTGAGTTCTATTAGCCTATATAGAATATTTTAAAGATATGTTTTTTATTGATACGTTTATAGCTTATGTATTTCATTAATTTGTTTTGACTACAATACGTTCAAGTCTCATCGTGGAAATATGTGGAATTGGGTGTTAGCTTAGAAGTAGATTAGATTTGTTGGTTAAAAAAACAGTTTTAGTATTTTAAACATAAGATTATTTTTATTATCCATTCTTTAAGGTTTTTTTTGTTTTTGTTTTTATTTCTCCATCAGAGTTCATTATTCAATAGTTCGGCGTTTATTCAATAGTTCGGCGTTTATGACGATGTTGTTTATACATCTTTGACATTATCTTTTTGTAATAAGTAATTGAAACTCAAAGTTTTCCATTTAGTGTAACATTTTATGATATTAACAAATAAAACAAATAACATCCTCAAATTATAATATACATATTTAAAAAACTTTTCAAATGGTGAATAACTTTTAACAAACTTTGTGATCTTTTAGAAATTATATCATTTAATTGTAACGAATAGAAGGTTCTTAACAAAATTAACTAAAAATAGGAATATACCAATATAAAATAAGTGTATTTTAGAAACTTACAGAAAGCAATTATATATCTTGAATTTGCATTGGTCAACTAACGTACAAAATGATATATGTGCAATATAATAAAATATCCATACAATAAGATCATATATTAAGAACTTTTAGCTTTATTTTTGAAATCAATACTTTTAAATGTAAAATAAAAAGTAATAGGGATCATAACAAAAATATATTTATGATTATAGTTGTATGTCTATTTTGTTTCATATATAGTCACTTCTTTAATACAAGATCAAGCCCATGTGCAACATGCGAACTCTTCAGCTGCAAGATCAAAGAACATAACAGAAGAGTAAATTTAAAAAATGAGGTATTGTGGGGAATTGGCTATAGTTATACAATATTCATAAATATGGTTATGCAAAATTCAACAGAAGAGTAAATGCAACTAATGACTTATATAATTGATTTTTGACTCTTGGACCAGATTATTCATATTTGATTGTTCCTAATGTGGAGTTGATTTGGTTGAAGCTTTTTCCAATATTATGACTGTTGTGATATGTCACCGACTTAACTCTGTCTCTCTAAGGGTGGAAGTGAAGAGCCTGTGGATCACAACAAAGAAAATAAGACCGTCATTAGTCGTCTGGGAGGCTATCCCGAAATGAGGCTCCGACAATTAAGTTACTGAGGGTCGGAGAGAGAGAGAGAGAGAGAGAGAGAGAGAGAGAGAGAGAGAGAGAGAGAGAGATGGTTAAAAGCATAAAGAGAGTGTTAGAGGGTTTTAGATCTTGGCCCCTTATCTTGGGAAGAAGGGTGCCTTTTAAACATGTGGATAGAGGGAAAATATCCACCTATCCACATGTATAAAAGGTAGAAGATACTGACGGGGATCTATTCCCCTATCCATAGGTATAAAGGGAACTCTTCTCCCCAAGAGAAAGGGCCAAGATCTAAAACCCTTTAACATTATCTTTACACTTTTAACCCTCTCTCTCTCTCTCTCTCTCTCTCTCTCTCTCTCTTAGACCCTCACTGACTTGATCATCGGAGCCTCGTTCTCAGTCAACCTCCTGGACGACAACTGACGGTCTTATCCTCTTTGTTGTGATCCATAGGCTCTTCACTTACACCCTTAGAGAGACAGAGTTAAGTCGGTGACATATCACAACAGTTGGCGCCATCCAGGCTTGCACTTAGTCTTGCAAAACCAACTCAAATACACCAGGCACCGGAAATGAAGGACAAAGGACTGGAGCGGTAAGAAGGTGACACCACTAGACCAGTTTGACCAATGCAGTCCCTTGACGAAAGCGGTGCGTCGACAATGGAAAGACAACCGATACCATAAATACCGACAACGCTACCAGTCGGCTCCGCAACAGAGTTCATCGCAAGCTTATAGAGACCGACACCCTCCGCAATGGCACATCCAGCCACGACGACCACCATGATGCCCCAAAGGGCCCCAACCACACAATCACAGCCAGCAACTCACCAGCATCCATCCACGCATCGGGTAGGGACCAGCACCTGGTGCCAAGCACCATCACATCCACTATACAACCAATGCCTACAGGTCATCTATCTTCCCCAACGGCTGTCATGTCGTAAGTCCCACTATTTGCACAACAACCATCATTTAACCCATACTCCTAATACTACCAAGGCATGGACCCCTAACACAACCACAAAACAACAACAGTCCAGGCACACCAGTACAGGGGACACACTCACACACCATGGGACCAATGGAGTCGAGCTCACAGTAAATCAGTTGGTGCATGCATACCCTACACAGGAAGTGTATATGCTACAAACGTCGGGATACAACCACGGGTACCATTACAAATATGGTCAAGGGTACGCCAACCCCTATGACAAGCATCACGTAATGGCCAGTAGAGAACCTGCATACCCACACATGCACGAATCAGTACCAAGCATTAGCTCAAAATTTTTCCAGGAGCTCCTGCAATATGAAATACCACATTTCACCATGATCCTAGATATCCCAAAATACAACGACACAACAGATCCCGACGAACACAGAGACACTTATGAATGGACGATGACATCGTTCCGGATGGACAAGAGGTTCACCTGTACCTACTTCCCGGTCACACTTTCAGGAAACACCAACAAGTGGTTCAAGGCGTTACAATCGGGTAGCATCTCCAGCTTTGAACAATTGAGACATATATTCCTCCATAATTTCATGCGGTTGAGAAAATCAAAGGAGATGCCAACTCAATCATGGCATGGAAGCAAAAGGAGCGAGAGTCCATCTGAGCATATTATGACTCGTTCACCTTAGCAACTTTAAGCGTCCAAGGCCATGAAGAATTCCTAGTCACAGGTACCTTCGCCCAGGGGCTACTCTCAGGCCCCCTGTCAAGAAAAATTCAAGGCACATGACCGAAATCCAGAGACAAACTTAAATACAGGGTCGAGAAATACCTCAGACAGATCAAAGGAGAAGAACGCAAACAAGCAAATTTAAAGGTTGAAGAGAATGCCTACCTCAAACAAAAATCAGCCGACTCCTACTCTCGCCACAACCATAAAGAGCGCAATGATGGAAGCCAAGACAAACATAGCAGACATTCCTCTCACAGATTCCACCCGTTTGTCAAAGACAATCCGATGAGCCACAGGTCGGAAGTACACGCCATAGAAAAAACCTCACAACGGACGAGAAGGAAAAAAGCAAATACTGCGAATACCATAAAAGCAAAACACATGACACCGGAGAATACGCAATACTCAAAAGAGAAGGTAGATAAGCAATTGAATGGATACTTAACAGAAACATCAAGGACCCTACGGTCAAAGTTCGCAGCTGACCAAAAAGACTGGAGAGCCTATACGGAAGCAAGCAAACAACCAATCAAAAAATAGTAGATTTTCACAAAAACAAGACCCAAGGATCGAGAAAAGTACAAATAGCTAGCCGCAGGCGATGCAATCCCACCCGGAGACATTCTAAACATCATTTTCTTGCCATCAGACCCGTGAGTGCCTGAATGGGACCCAATAGCCCCAATCATAATCCCCGCCATGATCATCCAACAGAAGATATGGCGAGACTTAGTCGACGGAGTTAGCAACATTGATATCCTTTACAAACACTGTTTCAAGCAACTCCTGCCATGTTAGAGAAGGAACCTGAAACCCCTAGCCCAAGCACCACTCGTTGGCTTCACTTGAAACAAGTTGTAGCTACTCGACACCATAAACCTACCATTGACTATAGTCAGTGTCAATAGGAAGGAACAAGTAACCAAGATAATTGAGTTCTCGGTACTCAAGCACAGATCCGATAACGATATAATCCTTGGGTGCCCGACTTTTTTTCAACTACAGGCTGTCCCATCAATAATATATGGCACGGTCAAGTTCAGAACAACCAAAGGTTCAGCAAAAGTCACAACCATTAATACACGAGCAAGGCCAATCCGGTCAATCGCCGCGTGGGCCACCATACACATCCCAAAAAGAATTCGGACAATAATACTCCTATCCAAAATGGTTAAAGACGAAAGGAAAGATACCCATACCCCATATAAGAAGAACGAGTGCAAACCCTAGGCATGTAGCCCGGGGGGAAGGGTACGATAGCAAAAACATTACCGTGCCAGATATATCATGTATTGATAGCACGAGCACCAAGAAGGGTTGGATATCACTAAGCATGCCCACGCGCCTTTGTGAAGTGAAGACACAACGTACATAGAAAAATCCTGACAAAAAACAAAACCAAGTGATCGAAAAAGTCGGGGAGGGAAAGACAGGGAAGT